TTGTTCTTTGAAAAAAACATGACTGAACTGATGAAACGAATGGTCTGCAAGTGTGAAAGGGGCCTACTGAATACAGGGGCCCAGGTCTTCCCTCTTATAATTACAAATCCCTTTTGATTCCCTTTTTGGTTTGAGTAATACATCATAATACAATTATATGTCCTATATTATATCAAAGGGTACCTAAACACATCCCAGGCAATATCCAACCCCAATTTTGTTAATTTAGTGCTGAAAAACAGGCCATAACCAAGGAGTATAAACAGATGTGCTTAGGATAAAGGCCTCGGCAATACGGACACAAAAAAGGCACTGAAAAGCACTTTTCTTGCTCTGAAAGCAAACTCAGTCATTTTCAAGTCTAACCCCTTGCTTTATCCAGCAAGCTGGATGTATTGGTCTACACAGAAAAGTCATTATTTTGGGGACATGTGCATAAATAAAAGTAATCAAAGTATTGTTCCGTGGCGATCAGAGAGACTCAGTAAAATGACAAAAATAAAACATCATAATAACCACCATATATTCTGTTCACAGTTGCTGTGGGTGGATGACAATATCGGCCCTGTCTACATTCAGCAATTACAACAACTGTAATTAGGTCAGATGCAAAAACTGTACAGAAGACCTAGAAACCGACATGAATAGTTTATTATTGAATGAAAAAAAAGTTTGAAATGCAGGAGACATTTTAAAATGCCAAGTTATTAACACAGTTATCTGAGTGTTTTCAAATATATTTTGTCTTAATGCTGATTATTGCCGTAAAAGAAAAACTGAAGCCTATGCTTCAGATTTCAGTAAATATCAAAATACTGATTTAGACAAAAAGATCACCAAGGTTAATTAAAAAAAAGTCATATTCCCTCAGCTTTAAACACCATATTATTATAAACCTGTGTAATTAGAGCAACCAGGCACATGCTGAATAAGATGCATAAGCAGAAGCTACTTTCAATAGATAGTAAGTCACAATGATGTATGGAAATGGGCAGCTGAACGTGCATGAAAATCCTGCCTGTAAAAATCATGTTTGGTTCCATTCCTCCCTCCTTGTTGGTCCTTTAATGTGATAACTGGCCTTACTGCTCATCTGGAAGGCACCATGGTGGGACAGTGATTTCTGTATAACTGTCTGCCAACATTTCATATTCCTGATCTGTGCCTGCTGTACCATGTATTTGTATGAAAAAGTATCCGGTTCTCTTTGTATTGTTTCCCCCATACATTCCTATTAAAACTGACCACACTAAGCATGAAAGCACAGTGTGGTCCATTCTCTAGCTGTGCTGGGAACTCAGTCTGCACTCCTCAATGATCAGACTTGTGCTGACATGCCCTCCCCCCCCTTTCCTTTCATAGTCTTTTACTGGGAAGATTAGTGTACTGCTGTTTCTCTACCCTAACTTTTCTATGGAACTAAAAACAGAGGGTATGTGATCACTTATAAAAAAAAGGGGAAAATATACACAAATGTTTTGCCTTTCATTTCTATTTTAAACTTTTTAAACTGTATGTGTTGTTTTACAAGGGGGTTTACATATACGTTAATGCTTTTTTCCAACAATTTGTTACAGGTTTACTGGATTCAGATATAAAACCACTAGTGGATGCATTTATTAACATACATTATATTAATAACATTACATGTATAAATACAACTAGTCTATGAATCTGTCTTCATACCAGCTTCCTATAATTCCCTGTACAGTATCATACAAACAGAGAGGAAGGGGCATCTCTTTAAAGTTTTACTAAACCCAGGACCCTGCATTCGCTGGAAGTGCAATTATTTTAGTATATATAAACTGTTAAATACCTTTTCTCATCAGCAGTTAGTCTTGTGACTTCTATCAGTCTTCAGCCAAGCACATGTTAAAGCTTGTAGGAGAAGTTTTCATTTTGCTCTAGGAGGATGGAGAACCCCTGAACTCTGTCTGGACAGTGCTGATTGGCCCTGTGCTGATCACATGCACTCTCCCAAGAAAGAATAAAACTCTTTAGCAGTACACACCAAACTGAGCATGTACAGAGTGACTCCACACGATATGTCTTATCAGGAGATAAGAGGGGGACACTGGAAGAAGAGGGCGGATCAGAGAAGACAGGATCAAACAGCGGTTTTACACAATGCAGAGGAATAACCCTCTAGGTTCCACAGTGGGTATAACAAGCATGCTTTACTGCATATACAGACTGATTTTACTGTTGTGGGTTTACCAACACTTTAAGCCAAACAAACTCTGCTGCAGTGCAAATGTACCGACAGTGAATATGCAGTAAAGGGCGTCAAGGGAAGAAAAATATGGCTTCTGTCATGGAAAAAACTCAAGAGCATTTAATGCCTATCAAAAATACCAGTGAAAACATGGTAGTTTACTTTACACTGATGCATTACTGCATATTTAGCAAAAAGGAAATACAACAGGACTTTTCATTGGCCTACAATAACTTCAGAACTTTAGAAATACTGCAAAGTCAAAATGCAAAGTTCTGCGAACTGGCAAGGTGCAATTAAGTATGTTTTTTATTTTACTTTAAATATTAGTGCCATAACTGGAATGGTATGTATATCATGTTGAGAGTTGGTCCTGGACATGACATCTTCCGGTACCTGTATATGATTAAGGTTGGTTGTGTTCCAAATTTAGGCTTGGTTTTCCTATTTATGTGCGGTCACAGAGGGCGGCTCTCTAGCCCCAGAAGACGTCTTCTGATGACGTAACGCGTCAGGCGGAGCCTCCCTCTGACGTCATTGCGCTGTCGCCCATTTTGGAAGCTTTTTTTTAATGCTTTTATTTCTCCTAAACTTGTAAGTAGGATTTTATTTGCGCGAATAAAGGTACATTGATCATATTGCATGAGAGACATGCTTTATTTTCCATGACACTATCCTGACACCGCAACAGGGATGACTTACTGATGTGGATTTTGGGTCCTGACATGATTTGAGAGATCTTGGGTCCTGACAAGTTATGGAAGTCTGGAAGATAATCTATCTACCGAAAGCTGGAATTGACCCCCTATAGTTAAGGGGTCTTTTCATCTGGTAAGCCTCCATTTATTCACATGGTGGTGGTGTGCACATGTTGGTGATTAATTGGATGAAAAAGGATTTACATTAACAACATAACATTTAAAGAACGAGAATCTGTTTCACAAATAATTGCGGAGTTTATTATTCATGTGGACTTTTTTGCCCTCTACATGGACTATATATATATATATATATATATATAATATATATATATATATATATATATCACTGTCTACATACACTAATTTGTTCACTTATTATGTTTATGGTACTTTTCACATTTATTACATGTATTTATGTTTCTTAAACTTTTTATACATACCGCAACATTAATATTTTTATTATTAGTGCCATTACCTTGCAGAAAACCTGGAGCTCGGTTTTGTGTAATTCTCACACAATATACAAAACAGCAAGAATGTGTTGAGCACCTAAAGTGGTTGTAAATCCTTACATATACTCAGTGAAGTGATTGGCCTCAGGTAATACACAGAGATTAATCAAATCCTCCTACAGTTGTACCTGTCTATCTGCAGTCTTCTCTTGTCTACATCTATTCTATAAAGCTTGTCTGAACTGTCAGAAAACATGGGATGGAGAGCCGAAATTACACACTGCAGAGCTCAGTGAGAAGACCTGGTTGAAGGGACACATCCCCTTCACACAGCACACAGGAACAGGGCGGAGGAGCAAACTGTGTGCTGGAGATCCCTCCCCACTTTATTTTTCTCGATGACGGGAAATCCTGTCAGAAGTGACTCATGCAAAAAGTAGAGGAACAAAGCAACAGATATCACTTAGTGCTGCACTTAATTGAGACAAGTACATACCATAGAGGGATATGCTTTGTTCATGTTTCATGTCTGAGGTTTGCAACTACTTCAAAGTAATTTTCAGCGGTCAGACTGCTTGCTAACAGCCAACCTATCTCAAACTTTACATAGGTTACAGTTTGAACTCCAGCCTTACCTTCAAGTCCAGCAAGATTAAAACAGGCTCTTCCATGTAGTGAAAATGCGTACTCTGATGTCACTGCACACTGTAAGCTTTTTACAGTGTGTATTAGAAACTGCAGCAAGTCAAATAGGGCCTGCCACATTTTCTGTCTAAAGGATGTAGACCATCAGCTAGCTCTTGCCTCCTCAGCCTGACTCTCCTTGCGCTGCACCTTTCATTCATTGCATTTCAATTCTTTCAATCATGAAGGTGCAACAACATATGTGCATTACCTAAGGCAGTCTGCATGCAAATGCAATCTGCCTGGGATTACCCACTCCTCCAGACTGATGCCCCCACCCACCCATCAAGGTATTTTAATATCTGCAAAACTTATCTTCAGAGCCAGCCCTCGGGGCTGATGGCTTTTGAGAGGAGCACTGTAGCAAGATTTCTGAAGGCTACTGTATATACAGCACCCTGCCCCGCCCCTCCCACTACTACTACTAGCAAGTAAACACTGCAATTGTGGTAAAGGGACTGGGATGAACCGGTGCAGCACATCAACGTCTGGAAGGGAAACTGAAGACCTGAGCAGATAGGCTATGCCCCTTGTAATATACAAAAAAAATCCTCCTGCGCTAAAAAGCCCAAATATATGAACTCAATAAGTGTAAGCTATGTCAGCACTTTTTGTGATATTCTAAACACAAATAAAGCAACCAAACAAAATGAACACACTAGTTTCAACACTAGTGTGCACTGCACTTAATTTTTGTTTGTATGGTCCCTGTATGTATCCAGAGGCTTCATTTTCAATTCTTACTTGTATATCCATTTAACTTTATAGTCCTACAGTTTCATCTACAGACATTGGTTATGCTAATTGATAAAATCTCAATGCATTTTTTTTAAAACTACATGAAAGCACATATAAAAAATCTTTTCAACATAATACAAACTCTTGTACTTGAGTTCAGCAAACTACAAGTGTGTATACACAAACATTTGAAAATGTCTCATTTACCTGTGGGTTTTCATGTGTTTTTTTGCAGTTTATGGAAGTCTTAAATGTTTTCTGACAATAAGGACACATGTATGGCCGCATATCATTATGAATGCCCATGTGACGCCTGAGACTGCCACCAGTTGTAAAAGCTCCATTACATACAGGGCACTTGTGGGACCTCAATCCAGTATGAGTTCTAACATGTGCTTTTAAGACTCCAGAGGACGCAAAACCTCTTCCACATTGAGTACACTTAAAGGGCTTTTCACCAGTGTGAGACCTATGTTAAAGAAAAAGCAAAAATATTTAAAAAGAAACACAATTATGTAAAGTTGTCTCTAACTAGCAAAATCATTTTGTACTTTGGGAAGACACTGGGGAAGGTTCAGATATGTTAGTAAATTGCGCAAAGTCTGTCCTTCCTAAACATGAAACTCTTGGTAGAAAATTGATCAAATACAGAATTGGACAATACATATTACAATACAAACATGGATGATAGGTGTTTCCCATTTACCCAACGAATGGGTGGATACTACAATACAGATGTTCAGTTTTGGACACATTGGGAAAGAGTACACATAATGAGAATATCGGACAAATGATCGCCCTTTTTTTGCATGCTAATCTCATATCATAAGAGAAGAGGTTACGAAAGTTACGAAAATTCTTCTACGACAAAATAAAAATTCGGAAGTGATGTAATGTATTTGTATTGTGTCTTCGGATGAAAACTGTACTAATGAAACAAAAATCCTGCGATATGGTATCGTACAAGAGAAATGTTCGTGCTTAACCCTTCAAATAATTTCACATGAAAGCTGTGTACTAATGATCAGTTTATTGTACAATTGCTTTGAAATCTGTATTTTTTTCTGATTTCGTGTACTAGGCTTTAGAACCCATCCTGCTCTATTTACGTTTTCTGTGCCCAGTAAGATTTCCTGTCATGATAAGAAATAGGAAATCTTTTCTCTGGGACACAAACTTGAACAAAACTTTTTTTCAGTAAAATGAATACGTCTGTGAATTGCTGTCCCATTAACCGCCGCTACCCTCACTTTTTGTCCTGTTGCTACATGGACAGTAAAAGAGATTAAATCCCCCCAGCAGTGCCAGAGGCAGCAAGAAAACTTGATAGAAGTAATTATTCTACCCAATTACCCCACTCCTAGCTTCTTAAAAACTTCTAAACTTTAGGTTTCGGGAATGTGTCACTTTCACACTGCATATTATTTTTGCATTTGTCATCCATATTAACAAATGCATTTTATTGTAGCAAGATCAGAAGCAAACATTTCTAGTTTATAGATTATTTTACAGCCTCAGTGACTGTGGGAACTTGTAGTTTTCCCATTCATAAAATACTGTAAATGAGTGATACAGTTGGGTGGGCGGAGCCCTGCACCACGACTTTTTTTTTTAAATTGTGACAGCTATTTGGGGAAGAAGATCCCCCACTAGCTGTTACAATGGGGGGTTGGAGGGGGGGGGCAGTGGCTGGTCCTTTCATAACATGTTACACCCTAAATATGGATGTAACATGTTGCAAAAGGTGAACTTATTCTTTAACAGTTTTTTTTTACCCTTTATACATAATATTTTGACCCACAGATATAAGGAGGTCCAATAAAGGCAGACAGGAAGTTCAAAGCTTATGTTTAGCTAATAATGATTTTTTATTCCTAAAGTTTTAGTTACCTAACTTTCAGTACCTGTAATAAAATATGTCCCATGTCATGCTGGCAGCTGGATCCAGGAGAAATCTTAACTACATGGATGTCCATCCTTTTCCTGGCTCTGGACTTCTGGCACTCCAATGGTTAATAGATTTGGGTCTCCAGGCTGATATCAATGGTAAATGTTCCCGCCCCCTCCTCAGATGGAAAATGTTCTTTCATAACACGATCTCTGACTGGGGGAGAGAATTCTGTCATTCATCAGACTCCCCAATGCAGAGAACATGATCAATGCAGTGAAAGAAACTAAAGATGGATGGATGAGAGGTGAGAGATCTAAAGCAATTAACCACTGCAACACTGGAAATTCAGAGCCAGAAAAGAGGACCGGTATCCCTGCAGTGAAGATTTCTCCAGGATACAGCTGCCTTCATGGTGCGAGACAAACTTTATTATAGGTAAGTTAGGTCACTAAAAAAATGTAAAATGTGAAAACTAATGACGTACACCCTCTCCACCCCCACCCCCTCCGGTCCCAGCTATATTTACATCTGGGGATGCGCTGAGCTGTCAGTGCCCATGCAGCCAGTCCAGTGGTACGGAAACTTGACATGTGGTGTTAGTTTCCCTTTACCTTTTCTTCAGTAAAGATGAAATAACATTTTAAAGCTAAGTTCTAGGTATGACTATTTTTGCATAGTTACATTAGTCCAGCTTGGACTAATGTAATAATGCATGTGCCATAACTTGCCAATCCCTGTGGCAGATGGAAATCACTGTAGTAGGCACCACTACTACCATGATTTCCACTGGCTTCCATTTCCTGTGCACCATTGAGAGAGTACTTTGCATTTTCTCAGTGATTGAATGAGGTGGAGATGGTGATGTCACTACCCTGCTTCTCCAATCAAGAATTCTTTGCATTTATTGAGAAAATGCAAAGTGTTCTCTAGATGGAGCCTGTGCCAAGCAAGCTACCTCCCATGTTCACTAAGAAGCAGGGCTGCTGCTTGGCACAGGACCTGGAAGCCAGCTATCACTACATTGGTGGTGTCTACTACACCAATTTCCAGCTTCCATGGAGAGCGGACAGGTTTGGCACATGTATAAATAGCCATACCTGAAATTTAGCTTTATAAATAGAAGAAAGAAACTTCTATAGAACACGGATAATTTTAAGAATGTGGTAGGTAATAAGTGACAACCCAAGTGGCAACTGCTATTCTTTCAAAAAAGAAACATCATTTAAATTTTACATAATGGGAGGAAAGGGTCTGGTACTAGATCCCTAAGTGATGAAAGCGTATACAATGGTGCAATCTGTTGCTTATTGTATCATGCTATTGTGTACATTTTAATGTTTTCTACTGCATGAGTAACTATTAAAACATATAAACCCTTAAGTTGCTCTTAGGTTATGTTTATGCAAATACAACGGTTCAAGAAGAACAAACCTTGCTCCACAGAAACTGCGTTCTGTACCCTATCAAGACTGCTGTGTAAGAACAGTGTTTAAATATATCACAAAATATCCAAGTGTGTTATATGTATAATAAAACTATATATATATATATATATATATATATATATATATATATATATATATATATATATATATATACATACACACACATACATACATACATACATACACACACACACATTTAATTTTTTTTTAAATATAGTAATATATTTAAAAAATATAGTAATATACTATTCGGATAGGTCACATAAAAGGTTGTCCCTGGTAAATCCTCCTTTAAGATATCCATAAAGCTGCTGACAGCAAAACACAGACAACTGCTGTCGTATAAACAGTTACAAATAGCCATTATCAGCATTTCCATAGTAGATTGCAAAATGCTGTGTGAACTGTTAGCTCTATATAAATCCTGTAATATAATAATAATAATAATAATATAACCTGATATGCTGTTTTAAGTGGCAGGATTTCTTATAGGCACGTTGACAATAGTAACACTTGTATGGTCGATCAACTTCATGTGTGTAACTATTAATAAAATAGCTTTGAAAAAACTGACTGTTCCGAGGGATTGGCTGGATAAGACCTTTAAAGGAAAAATACAATTTTAGTATGGCAATATTAAATAATACATAAACAAACACAAAAATTAAATATAGTCTATACCTAGACTCTAGACTATTTGCACATCTTGCATCCAGCAGGACAATTTGGGGTGCGCATGAAAGCTGGTACACAATGTAGGCCATACTCTGCTGTATTTTTAGAACAATGGATTTGCACACCTTAGGGGCCAAGGTTAGGGGAAAATTCTAATGTCAATGAAACCAGTTGGTACCTGCAGGTGCCTAGAATTCTTGTGAATGGAGTATTTTGGGTTTAAAAACAAACAATGACAGGAGTACACTATTAGAGTTCAATACAGGAACACAAACTAGGTTGCAACAGGGTGAAGTATAAGCTCTCAGGGAGACGGCTAACAGGGTAGAGTATCAGCTCTCAGGATAGGGCTGGGGACAAACATTGATTGTCATGTAATCCAACTAAAACAACTAAAAGTGAAGAAAATTAGATTGACTGACGCCTCTTTCTAAGTTTCCCTCCATATTTTTCCACAATTTGGACAGCACCCCACTAAGCAACTTCTTCTGAACATTTTGAAAACTATTTTTAGAAAAAATAATTAATTCATATAAAAAGAACTAATGCTGCTTTGTGAATCGGCCTTATATTCTGCTAATGGGTCTCCCTTTTAAGCTACTTGCACATTAGGTGTTTAGCTCATTTGCGCTCAATCTCAGAGTTTTAGTATGCCAGAAGGCACAGTTTCGGCATCCTACCCTGCTGCCTGCAGCCTGTCAAAGTCCATTGCAGGTTTGATATAGGCAGCGGCTGGCGGGGACTGAATGGTGTACTGAGTGGTAATCATGTTATCGCTGTATGTGTGTCATCTTCCTTCAACACAGGTATTCTGGGCATACGTTCCTGAATTGTTTAAACAAAAAAACTTATTCCTGCGCCAAAGTTTTCCAAATAACACTCTAAAAATGCTGCTGTGCCAATCGTGAAAACACAAACAATATAAATATAAATAAACAGCGCAAATTTAGATAATTAATCAATATAATAAATCATTAAAATAAGTGCATAAATTATTCGTGTTTCCCCTTAATAATAAACAAAAACACCCAAAAGTCCATGTGCTGAAGACATAATTAAATTGTAGAAATAAAAAAATAATATAATGAAAGTGCCAACTTCTTTTCTTCAAAAAATATTTTCACCTTCCACCAGTGCACACACCAACATTGAATACACTCACCAGAACTTGGTGAGTAAAAGACCTTTTAAGGAATTTTAGGGATCCTAAACCCTCTTTGGTGCCACGCTAGGGAAAATCTTCACCCTCCGAATAGACTCCACCATCCAACCAAAAGAAAAAACTCACATAGCATAATATTGTCACACCATAGTAACTTATTCCAAATAGAGATTAAGGCCACTCACATGTTAATCACTTGCTAAAGGCATGTTTAATATGTATAACAGGCTTCAGTTCCAGCAGA